CTCTTCAAACAAACAAAACTGATCACCCATGGAGAAAGCACTCCCGTTTTTCCACAGTGAAACTCCAGCTCTCAAGAAATGCTGTGACTTTAATTTTTCTTTAATTTTGATTAAAAAGTCTCTGTTGCAGGCCAGGCGCGGTGGCTCACGCCTGTAATCCTAGCACTCTGGGAGGCCGAGGCGGGCGGATTGTTTGAGCTCAGGAGTTCGAGACCAGCCTGAGCAAGAGTGAGACCCCGTCTCTACTAAAAATAGAAGGAAATTAATCGGACAACTAAAAATATATAGAAAAAATTAGCCGGGCATGGTGGCGCATGCCTGTAGTTCCAGCTACTCGGGAGGCTGAGGCAGGAGGATCGCTTGAGCCCAGGAGTTTGAGGTTGCTGTGAGCTAGGATGACGCCACGGCACTCTAGCCCGGGCAACACAGTGAGACTCTGTCTCAAAAAAAAAAAAAAGTTTCTGTTGCTCTTTCCATTCCAGTTAAACTTCAGGACCTGCACCCTAATAATAAAGCCTTCTACAGAGAAAAAACCTGGATGGAGATTTTCCAAGAAAATGCTTGTCCAGGGGCCCTGAGACTCTGACAAGGTGTTTTTATCTCTCTGTCCACCTTTCACCCAAATACAGGCACTTGCACATACTTTCTCTAGGGAGAAAATTTATAAGTGTGAAACACTCTAAAAATGCCACTGAACAAACAGTAACTAAGAATTATGTGGTCAACAGATTTTTTTTTTCTGCCCATTCCCTAAGTCTGGGGGCAGAGGATTGTGCCCCAGGAAATGGCTTTTAGAAAAACCAGGGAACCTACTATAATCAATCCTTTATTGAGTCATTCTGGTATTTCATGGCTGTAAGTAGTTCTGGCATTCAGAGTTGTATTTTTGGTTTCCTTCTGGTGATGAAAGGATCCCATATCAGCTCAGCTTTTTATTCTGTTTATGTCAAGAGAAAAAACTCCAGAGAACCAAATGAAAGGGAAGACACATCAGCTTCTAAAGAATTAACATATTTATTTTACATAGTTTTACCGTACACATCTCATGCCAACACACAGGAGGCATATACAAACAAACGCACCAGCTTCTGCTTTCCAAAGTCACATGGCAATAAATAAGGATGGGTGGGTCCTTTTTTTTTTTCTTTTTCTTTTTTTTCCAGGAAATGAGACTTCATTTCTTTTTCACTGTACAAAATTTACACTGCGAAGGATGAGGGCAGCAATCCAGAGCTTAGGGGATCTGGGGCTTTGAGGTCTGAATGCAAGCTCAGAGCAACTTCTAGAATCCTGCAGCCCTGAACCTGCTTGTTTGGCTGAACACAGTCCTCAAGTGGGCAAGTACAATGTGGTTCTTGTCTCTGGGTGGGCAACAGATGAGAGTGGGGGTGTCCTTCCTCTGTTCACCTGTGCTCTGCCTCCCTAAGCAAAGGAATGCTTGGCGCACCTCCCAAACCTGCAGCTGTCTCCTCACCAGAGCTAGCAGCATGAAACTGTGCTTTTAATGTGGTCCTACCAAGCAGAGTGTGGATGGGATGACTTTGCCGAGCTCTCTCTTTTTGGCTCCAGTCACTGTTTCAGAGCGGTTGGAGCAACTACTGCCAAAAGGGCCAATGGACCAATCCAAGAAAGAGAGAGCCAGTGATGTGCTTTTTACTCAGCTTTCAGCATGCCCAGAGCCCTCCAGCAGCAGGCCATAAAACAAAACTCATTTCCGCTTAATTGAATTTTTCTTCATCTCACGGTTTCCAATTTTTAAAGTGCAATGTTTTAAAAAAATGAGCCTCCTCAGGACTTCCAGACCCTGCTGGCTGGGGAGGTATGGTCGTTATTTTCATGGTGATAACCAAGTTGTCAGTCATGGCATATGGGAGGAGCTGTGTGAGAACAGGTGCCAGAGCGTGGACTGTCATGGAATGTGGCTTTTGCTAATCAGAAGCCTTGAATGCCCCCCAGCGAGGAGGCAATTCAAAATAACCAGCCTGAGCTTCAGAGGTGGGGATGTCTTTTGTTCTACAGATGTCTTACACTTCCTTAAGTGTACATCATTAAGTGAACTTCATGATGAAGATCTAACGGGCCCCAATTATCTTATTAGGTTTCATGTTTTACATGGGGAAAAAAAAAAACTTTTAAAGACTCTGCCAAATGCTTTTCTTACGTCGTACTTTTTTCTCTTTCCCTGGTGTTTCACTATATTAATTTGCAGGAACAATGTTATCAATATGGTGGTTGATTTTCATTTTACATTGTGTTCATAACTATCAGATGAGGCAAGAAAGAGAAAGACTGAAAGGAATTTGCCTGAGGTTGCGTAGCAAGCCCTTGAAGGGCCAAGAACCATGCTTCCCAGCAATGTGATTTACCTACTGGGCCAGCTTAGCCCTTAGATTTGGTATTGCTTCCATGGTTTTATTACTTTTCAGCAAATATACATCCCTCCATATCCGCTCAGTTCCCATTTTTGTTTCTACCAATTGCCATGGGAACTTGAGGTTTTTTAATTAATTCGCTTCTGGATTCCGAAGCTTCCTACTCTAAAGTCTATTGCCAGGCACTGCAGATAACAGTTGCTAGTTAATTGCTCTCTTAGTACCAAAGCCAGGTCCAAATATTGTAAATGTATCTAGAAGGTCTCCTTTCACTTTTAAAATTCGTCCATGTCATTTTAGCAAGGGGGAAAACAGCTGCCATATAGCACCTTATCCCCCAGTGGGAGACTTCTGAGCAATAGAGGAGTGCCTCTAAGAGCATCTAAAGATAATGTCCTGCTCTTCTCCATCTTCTAACCACAGAAGAGCTAACGAACATTCTTGGCATGCAGTGGCTCATTAGTAGCCCATCCATAACGCTAACCTGCCTCGCAGGGAGATCTACTTAAAATCTGAGACCTATTGCGGCTGTGCTTCTAAATGACACCAGTGTTTGCTGCTTTCTGGAGAGGTGGATCTGGGGAACTTAAATAAAGCTCTCCTCGTTTTCTGGCCAGCGCTCTCTCAAGAGCTTTGCCAGTTAGCCAGCCCCACTAAGAACAAATAACTGTTGACCAACGTCAACTGTTCACTGAGCTCCTCAAGAGACTTATTGAATGAGGAAGGCCTCCCCTTCTCTTCCACCATTGAACTGGGAGTGAGTATGATTAACTTACAAAACCAAAAACTGGTCAATTTATATTGATCTTAAATACTGCTACATACACAAAGGGAGGATGCTCCCTTTTGTAGAGCCTGCTCTCCCCATACTACAGCCACCAAAAATACAAAGTGCCTCTGAAATCCCATGAGTCGCTAAGCCAAATAGTCAAGCTGAAGTCAAGTAGTCTGGGTGGGACAGCTTTGCAACTGGCCGTTGCCCAGCAGAGCCTTTCTCCTGTGTGTTGGGAGCAGCGCGCTAAGAATGGTGGATTTCAGAAGCTGTCCAAAAAGACGGCTGCATCTGCCTTTCCTTCACGTGGCTTATTATCTTGCGTCTGTGTCTCCCAATGTTCACGTTATTGGGGAATTCCCTTCGGCACAGAGTTGGGTAGGCCGAACGCACCATCGTCTGTGAACACGGGACCTCAAGAAAAGAGTCCTCATTTGCAGACTCCCCAAGCAAAAATCACAACAATTGCAGCACACCGAAAAACAAGGGTACACTACCAAACTGATCAGAGAAAAGGTGGCCTAAAGGCTGATCCAGGAATTTATTGACTATATATTTTAAAGAAGTTTAATGCATCTTAGTTTAATCCTGGAAAGGGGCTTACAAAAGATGCAGCAGCCAAGGAGGAACTGTTCATTTCTTCCTTTAGTCTGCCTACAACACGCCTAAATCTTTGCAGTCCTTGCAAGGTGACCAAAGAAGGACCACAGAAGGAAGGGTCCTTAGGGTCTGTGGCCCCATCACTTCACGTGAAAGAAAGACAATGCCTTCTCACCCTTTCCTACGCTGCTAATCTCATTTAAGAGAATGGGAGGCCAGAAGAAGCAAACCATGGTTTCCCAAGGGGATGGGAATAAATTCCAGCTGGCTAAATTCCAGTTTGCACATGGAGAGCTTCCTAATGGCCAGATGGGTGCATAAGGTGGGAACTGCAGCACCATTCCTGACGATGGTCACCGCAGAACTGCAGCCTGTCGCAGGAGTGGCAGCTCCTAATGCAGGGATCAGCCTTGCCCTTGGCTCGGGCTTAGTGATGTGGCTTTGCAAACCTGCAAGCGGGGATACCCACGCCACCACTCGCCAAGTCCCACCAGCAATCCAGAGAGATGTAGCCCAGGGACCACTTGGAGCCCTTTGGATAATTTTAGGGCTGCTCCCTAAATTATTCCTCCCAACCAAGACAGGCCAAAGAAAAAACGTTGCTAGCTTCCAGAAGCAACGAAGACTATCCTCCAATTGAGTCAGCTTGCATTCGAGTCAGAGAAAGCTTGCATTTGTAAGGGGGCAGGACCAAGGGTAGACTTGCAAGCTCATCTAAACCAACTCCCTCAAAACAGATTCTCCAAATATTTCACCCTACAAGGATGGAGGACTCCAGGAGACTGGCATCTGCTGATATGGCTAAGCAGATTGCACGCTTGGAATCCAAATGTGTCTACAAATGTTTTCACTGATTGTCATTCTGTTCTCCATATTTTAGCTTTGATCATTTTGTAACCCACAGCCTGTCTTATGGAAGAAATGATATGAGCAAATTAACAAGGCACACTGTGCACCAAGGGGACTCATCAGACAGTCTGTGACAGTGGTCCAGGGCCACTCAGCTCCAGCCTCAGAGTCACCTGCAATGAAAACCACCTCTTGCCATCAGGGATTCAGTGATATAGATGGGATTTCTTAAAAACCAAAACTGACAAATAGTCTCTGGTTTGTAGGAAAGAAAAGTCATATTTTCATAGCAAAAAAAAAAAAAAAAAAGAGGGGACATGTTTTTAATATCAAACTGTGGTCATCAAAGTTTTCACTGACTTTTAATAACTGGCTTTTTTATTTTGAAAATTAGGGTTCAATAAGGGTGGTCCAAAAATCACTTTTATTGTACTCAAGACCTGTGACACCTCTACCTTAGGAATGTTGGTTCTGGTGAGAGCAGTGGTTTGGGAGGCATTGGGTGAGACGCACCAGTTGGAGCCGAGTTCCCAAAGGCCAAGGGGGCCTGTCACAGTGACCTCGTGCTACCAAAGCACTGAGCAGCCAAAGCCTTTAAGCAGGGCAGGAGGGGAGACAGCCAACAAGCCAGCATCCCTAGAGCTCCAGGCTGTGCACCCCTGTGCTGCATTCCGAGATGAGGCTGCTCTCCCACCCCAAGAAGACAACGCCCCAGTGTGGTCTCCCAGCCTTCTAGGACTCAGCGGAGGACTTCCATTGAAAATAATGGAAACTCACATTGGCGCACTTTTGATCCTTAAAAGGCAAGTCTCTTTTGATCCTTGAAGATATTCTCTCAAGCCAGGAGGACAGGCAGGGTGGGGAGGAGAGAAGTTTAAAAAGGAGGATGATCCATTTCATCGAGCCAAGAGGCTGGGCTAGTTGGAAAGTCGGGGTAGCCTACACTGCTTCCTGTGGAGATATCAGAGGTGGGTCCCCCAGCCATGGCTCTCAGCGTCTGGCTCACTCCCTGCCCTGCGTGCGCAATGATGCCCAGATTACTGTCCACCGTGTAATCCAGCCCATTGAGCAAAGGAGCGTGGGATGGCAAGGACGATATGGAGGATGGAGACTGGGGGATTCCATAGGGGCTCCCATCCCTCAAGTCCTGATAGGATTGTCCTGTCCCGTCCATGGAGAAGCTCCCATTCATTAACTGTCCGCCTGTAACGTCCCCCACGTTGCCATAAATCCTATTGGTGTGGCCAAGTTCTGAGAGAATTTGATCCTCTGTGGACGAAAGAACGGAGATTTATTGTCAGCTGCCAGGACTCCAGTGGTCCCCTGCTCTTCACAACCTAGGAATACACGTGACCAGGAAAGAAGCCAGAGAGGCAGCGGCCTGGCTGCCCAGCATGGGTCAGACACCAAATATGGCAGCCTGACACCCAGAGGCCAACCCAGGTCAAGGGGAAAAACAAGAAACAACTGCGGAGACTAAATTCCCAGGTCCCAGAAGGCTGGATGAACGCTTGGGGAGCTTGTTGGTCCCATGTGGCTTGTGGACTAAGACACCCTAGCTACACTGAGGAGCATGAATGCCCAAGGTTTGGTGGGTCGTCTATTATCGATGTCACAAATGGAAGCTCTGTGCTGACAAGACTTACTCTGAAAGCTTTCAAGCTGAAAAAAGGCTTGGTCTAGTTCGTTGGGAAGCTAGCAGGCCCTCATGATAGCGTCACCTGAGGACCGCTCTTAGACATGTGTACAAAATCATTTTGGTCTACCTGGAAAAGTGGGTCAATATAGAAGGACTCGGTTTCTCTCTCTATTCAATATGCTTTTCACTAGGGACAAAGAATTGATTTGATTAAGGCAAATGGACCTTCCTCTTTCTTGAAAAATTTCATTAAGTGGATTTAATGGAATCTTTGCCACTTGAAAGAATGCATCTCTCCAACAGAGGTGAGCAGGTTAGATCTTAAGAAATAAAGGATTATATAATTACCCAGAGAGACCAATGACATGTCAACCCCGGGGACCCACCGGCACCCAACAGAAATGAGCTGTGAAGCAAGACTTCACAATCCTGTATGTGCCAGGCATGACTTTCAACAGCTCAGGTGAGATTAGGGGGCCTTCTCGAGAGAGGCCCGGACGTGAGCGTCAGGTCCATGAGCCCTCGCGGGGAGCCGCACAGGCCATGTTCTGAGGGGAGGCTGACCTCCAGGGCACAGCAGACCTCTGGCCGAGCTACAGCCCTCTCAGGGCATCGTGCTCCTGGCAGGCACCTTGTTCCCTGCCCTGTGCCACAGACTGCTCTCACTATTTCCACCTGGGCCTCTGCATCAATTCCTATGTAGGGCCTCCCCACAGTAGACTCCAGCACCCCATCCCTCTGCGGCCTGCCCCATAACACCCATAAAAATGAAAAAGGGGGGCGGGGAGCTCATGCCCTTTAGAGGGGCCAGGAAGATGAAGGCTCAGCTCCACTGTAAAGTGGCCATGATTTAGCCTTTCGCCTGTACCTGTCGTCCCATGTGAGCAGGGCCCTCTGTGGGCTCCACAGGCTGCTGTGGGGACAACCATGCCCTCCACACATACAAACGTGCTCAGTTCTCCCCAAGCACATCCACGGTCGCTTGTGTTCACTGACACCCTCAACAACACTGGGGGTGGGCGAAGCTGTGGTATTCCTCGTGGGGAGGCTGGGGCTCAAAGAGGGTACTGAGGCTCAAGAGAAGCGAATCCATTTGACAGAGCCACACTAGAGACCAGGTTTCTGGTCCCCAGTTCAGCACACTTCGCTTCCTCCCAACAGAAGACCTTCCACATTGGAGGACTCAGTTACTGAGAAAAATTATGGTTATTTGCAAACGACCCGAGGATTGACAACATGCAGTAATTTGCAATTTTGCCGATGCACAAATTTGAACAGAGCGCATGCTGCAAAGCTTGTGTGCGGGGGACAGGATGAGGTGAGTGGTGGGGAAGGGATTTCAGAAACGAAGCCAGTTCCCCATCTCACATGCACTCACAGCACTGATTTCCCAGGAAAAGGGCCGGTTGAGCACGGCTTCCCCACCACCAGGGCGGGAGGAAGGGGCTACCCTAGGGGACCATGGGAGCTGGGCCGGTGTCCCTGTAAAGGGGAGGCTGGCAGGGGAGGGGCTGGGCCATCTGTTCGCAGCTACCTGGGCTGGTGAGGGAGTCCCGGACAGCAGGAGGAAGGGGAGGCCTCGGGCCACAGGACGGGGCCTGGCGGGGCCCGGGCACCCAGCTTCCGGATCTCAGCAGCAGCGCTCTTTTGTTTTCTACTCCTTGTCCCATCGCGAAGGGCCACTGACATCTCCCCCACCCTTCCCTGCAAGTCGGGGGAGGCCTGTGTTCAGGAGGGAGTTGCCAAGGCCTCAAGGAGGATCCCTCCGAGCGTCAAGCATCACTGGTTCCCGGGGGACGTGCCTACGGCCTCGGCCTCGCCCCTCCAGCCCTGCTCACCTCGGAAGCTCAGCTCACTGTCACTAACCCCACAGTCCTCCGCAGAGCTCTCCTTCTCCTGCTTGCTGCCTCCCCGGCTCCTCTTCACGCTCTTGTAGAACTGCCCCCAGCGGTGCCGCCCCGCGTCCTTCTTCAGGCGTTTCTCCTTGGCCCTTCTGTTCTGAAACCAAACCTGCCACACAAGCACAAGGGACACGCTCGGAGGGGGTCCACCCTGAGCCCAAAGCCCCCAGGACGCCCAAGGCAGGGCCTGGAAACAGACCGGAGCCTCCGCAGGGTGCAGGGCCAGGAGTGTGAGGTGCCCACGGCCGCCGCTGCCTGGGCCTGAGAACCCTGTCTCCCGTTCCGGCAAAACCCCGAGGTCCCGGCCCCAAGCCCAAATCCCCGAGGGGAGCAGTGACACCACTCACGAGGTGACGTCACTCACGCTCTCTGAGCCCCCTGCAGGTAGCGGGCGCAGACACAGGGTCCGGCTCAGGACACCGTCCACCCTGGCGCAGGCCGGGGGTCCCCAGAGGCAGGGAGGCCCGGCCGTCTCACCTGCACCACCCGCATGTCCAGGCCTGTCTCGGAGGAGAGCTGCTCCCTCACGTGCCGGGCGGGCTTGGGGGAGTTCTTGTAGGCGTTCTTCAGCGTCTCCAGCTGCTTCGCCGTGATGGTGGTCCGGGGCCGCTTGGCTCCGGCCTCCGAGTCATCTGCGGCGAAAACCACCTCTTACTGGGCCTCCTCCCTGCGCCTCCTTCCCGCGGTCCCCACGGCGGCCTGGCCACTCTAGGCAGCGCGGTGCGGGGCACGGGGCGCATCAGAGCGGACAGGCTTCCCAAGTCGCTGGAAGGCGAGGACTGCCGCCCCCCATCTTCCCTCGGCTCCTGGCCTCCCCCTCCCTCCGCCAGCCCAGCGGCCGGGAGGCCCTTCCCCAGACGGGACGTGCACAGCTCCCCGCGCTCGCTGCGTCACACACTCTGCACAGACACCCTCGGGAGCTACCTGCCGCCAGCGCTGTGCAGATGAGCAGCCAGGCCGAGGCCTGGGTTCCCGGGTTCCCAGCTGCCCAGACGCCCCCGTCCCTCTCCCGCTCCCCTCGCCTCGGCCACGCTGCCTCTGCCGCGGCCACAGCCGAGCCTGCACTAGCACGCATCGTCCGAGCAGTGCTTATAAACCACGGCTAAGAACCTACTAGTGGGTTGTAAAGTCAATTCAGTGGATTAAATGAATAGAACAGAACAGAACAGAACAGATGCGGGCTAGCATCGTTCCATGAAAGTTTAGTTGTCACTGCACGAATGCGTGTACTGAGTTGCAATGTACAATGGCCTTCTTACTATGGATCCCAGTCAACATTTTCTGAAAAACACTGGTCTGCGTTTCAGAGCAACACACTGACCGATAGACCCCAAGTCTTCGATGGGTTTGGAGTGAATGAGCTTCAAGTTCCTATTAGTGAAAGGCTGGTCCGTCCCACTCAGAGTCGGGCAGAGACAGGCACGTGGGTGTGTTCTGCAGTGCACAGTCAAGTGCAAAAGGTCTGTTTCCTTGGATTTACCGCCCCCCCCCCCGGCATGGTACCCCTGGAGCGAACAAGGAACAGGTCAGCAGCTGGGCCCTGGCACCCTCAGCCTCTGTGCGGCCTCACGTGTGTTCTTTAAAGTGTCTCTGCCGCATTCCTGCCGTCCTCCTGCCTTTTCTCCTTCCTTTCCGTTGAAGAAAACCCTCTCTTAGAGACAAAAATAATAGGCAATACTTATTAGCACCTACTGTGTGCTGGTGCTGACTAAGAACTTGACCTGCACTCAATGCTCACAAATCTACCAGGTGGAGCCAGAAGGCCTGGGTTCAACATTCCTGTTGTTGTTACTGTCGAGCAAGTAACCTCTCCCCTCAGAAGCCTGGGGGGCAACGCCACCTGCCCTGCCGGTGGGGAGCACCAGAGGAATGAAGCAGTTGTCCAGCCGCGGTGCTTATGCACACATGGGGGGGGGCAGCCAGTGTCCTCTCCTCTCCCTGGGCTGTTTTCTCCTCCAGAAGAGCCACTGTCGTCCCAGAACCCCTGTCACCCAACTCCCTCCCTTGGAGTCCCAGACCCAGGAGGAGGATTCCAGAGCTCCTGCGGCAGAGACTCCACTGCTTAGAGAGTAATTCCTAAAGACTGGGGAAAACCTCCAAAATGCTCTGAAGTCTATTATGAGAAGCCAATCCTTTCTGCCTGTATTCATAGAGTTTACAGCATGAGAATGTTTGGTGCAAATTGGAATTACGCAAATAGGAAATAGCACACTCGTAAAATCTGTTTACAGTCTTTACATATCAAATTAGAAATAATGAAACCAACAAAAATGTTTTCATTCTTCGAGAATCACTTAATTTCAAAGTAGTTTGGTCTAATACTCTGGTCTCTCTTCAGATCGTATTAATCTTTTGCCTTTTGCAAAATAGCTTGGCCTAGTGAATTAGAAATTCTTCTCACCACAGCCAGATGGCAGCGCCACTGGGACGTACCCCTGTCGCCCCAGTTTGTGCCCCGTGGGTCCCGCACTGCTGCTTACACGCACGGGACTTTCTTCTTGCGATTACGAGGACTAATATGCTGTTATTTTAACATTCACTGTTATTATAATTTAAAATCTTTTTTATATCCTATAACAATGTCATCCAAGTATTCATTAAGTAGCGGTGGCAGTGCTCATGCTGAAAAATGTACCCAAAAATCAATAACTTTGGTACGGAAGTTAAATGTGATAAAACGCTAGGAGGAAGGCTAAACGAGACCATGATACCACGATACCACGAGAGCATTCTGCAAGGTGCTAGGATAATGCTGAGAAAATAAAAAGTAGCATTAAGGCAAAGATGTGCTTCACTGGTTATGGATTTATGTGCTCCCAGAATACAACCCCCCAAACACACTTTTTATATTAATTCCTATGGTAAAATTAGTCTGAAAATATGTTACTTTTGAATTATGCAGGGTCTCCTAGAACTTGTCCCTGGAATAAAATGCAACCTCATCATATTGAAAATGCAAATATCAGGGGAGATGGAACAAATGAACAAAATCATTCACACTAAGGTGCAAATAGCTGCTATTAGCCACAAGGAGGGTTCAGAGTAGCAAGGAGGATTAAAACAATGTGAAAACACGGCCAAACAAGGCAGACAAATTCCCTGCTGCTCTCAGGATCACTGGGTTGCACAGGGCGGAGCAGCCCCCTGTGGTGCTGGCAGCTGGAGGTGGCAACTGGGGGTTGGGGGGACACCTGGGGAACATGCCAGAAATGCTGTGTGACATCAGCAACGTCACCTCCCTGTCTGCTTTTCTCTTCCACATTGGTCTCACTCTTACTTGACATCCCACTTCACAAGCCTTAATCCTATCTAAACCTCAGGCAACCGCCCTCTGGAGCGGGTATTATTACCCCCACTCAGCTAAGAAGCCAAGGCTCAGACAGTCACACAACTTGCCAGGAACCCCCAAGTTCGTGGGGACGCCCGCCCAGCTGATGCCCAATCCAGTGTCCCCGCACTGTCCCACAGAGGTCTGCTATGGTGCAAATATTCCTCGATAAAATTAGGAGCTGCACGATGTCATTCCTGCCTCCCCAGCCAGAGTATGCCCAGTCTGTGTTTGTCTCCCTCTTTCCCGAACCCGCCACACGCCAGGGTAGGCTGCGCTGACACTGCCCAGAGCGTAAGTGAAGAGAAGCCGCGGTGGCCGGGAGGGTGTGTGTCTCATGTCTCTGGGGAAGGGCACCAGAGTTCCAGAGGTGTCTTGGTACACCTGCCTTGATGGTTTATCCCTGATAAGACACCCTAATCTTCCTGCCGGGCGCAGTGGCTCACGCCTGTAATCCTAGCTCTCTGGGAGGCCGAGGCGGGCGGATTGTTTGAGCTCAGGAGTTCGAGACCAGCCTGAGCAAGAGGGAGACCCCCGTCTCTACTAAAAATAGAAAGAAATTAATTGGACAACTAAAAATATATAGAAAAAATTAGCCGGGCATGGTGGCGCATGCCTGTAGTCCCAGCTACTCAGGAGGCTGAGGCAGGAGGATCGCTTGAGCCCAGGAGTTTGAGGTTGCTGTGAGCGAGGATGACGCCACGGCACTCTAGCCCGGGCAACACAGTGAGACTCTGTCTCAAAAAAAAAAAAAAAAAGACACCCTAATCTTCCGTGACATCACCATCACAATTAACTCCCAAGCAATCGCATGGGGTGAGTTTTAAGGAATCGGAACAGACAAGAACATTAAGGCAAAGAGCCTTGGAACAGGTTTGAAGAAGGCCCAGGTCTCTGGAGGAAGGAGATCAAAGGCCTCTGCTATCCTGAATGCCCAGAGCTGTGGGGGTGGGGGAGGGAGGAAGAGAAAAAGAGAGGCAGCCCCTTGGCGGGCAGCCTGGCCCCTGCATGCCCAGCCGGGCTCCCCCTGGCCCACCCAGAGGCCTCCTCACCACACCCCTTCCAGGGTGCTGTGCTCATCAGGCAGAAACTAACTTCCCCATGTACTGATCAGCTCTGTATAACGTATGTGCGTGAGCCCAGAAAGGATCTGGAAGGAGATACATAAAATTGTTGCTTAATTTTTTTTTCTCATCAAGCCCAGAGCTGTCAACAAGAGCCGCTTTCCAGAGTATCACCCTGAGTTGAGACACAGGACTGTGACGTTTTGGGAACTCGTGCATCTGAGAATACCAGATTAAGAGCCAGAGTGTGACACCCCCACCCCGTGGGCCCAGCGGGGAGCCTGGGGAAATGAGCCCCTTCCGGGCCAAGGGAGCCCCTGGGCTGCCTGAGAACATGGCGCGGAGGGCGAGAGCGGCCCGCGCTGCGCAGGCCAAGGCGGGCTTTCCGGGCTTTCCGGGCTTTCCGGGCGCGGCTGCTGAAGGCCCAGGCCTGGTTCCAGCCTCTGCTGGGCAGCGAGCCCTGCTGCAGCCAGGGACGGTGCCCCGAGGCGGCTGGGGCGAAAGGGACGGCGCCATGGGGTGGGCTGGGGAGGGGGCAGCTATATTGTTGAGTTGGAATCCCCCGGAAGTTGGCCAAGGGTTCTTCCTCTTCCTTGGCAGAGTGACTGAGCACTTGCTTCAGAAACACCGGGGCCCCTGCCCTGGAGAAGCCACAGTCGGAGGGGGAGACAGAACACGGCGAACGGGAACGCGAGCGCACCCAGGGAAGGGCGACCGAGGCCATGCTGGGCTCCCACTGGCTGCAGCCCTTGAGGCGTGGGGGGCTGAGGCCAATGCGCACCCCGGTGTCCACTGTGGCCAAGCTCCCCGCTGCCGCTTGGCACCCCCAGCCCCAGCCCAGGCAAGGAGCCACCAAGACGATGGCAGCAAGGTCCCCGGCTGCCCCGTGGCGCGGGCGCCGCATTCACGCCTCCGCAAGGCGGCAGGTGCCCGCCGATGGGGTGCTCGGAATTCACCTGGGGAGGCTTCTCACGGCAGGCAGCCGGAGCAGGGGGCCGGGGGCCGGGCGGGGGGGACGCGGGGACAGGGCGCCCCAGGCGGAGGGCACGGCCGAACAAGGCCTGGAGGAGGGGCCGGCGGGCCGCACTGTTACCGTTCTGCTTGGCCGTCTCGTAATCTTCCTTGCACACCAGCCGCCCGTCCTCCATGAGGTAGAACTCGTCGCCCGTGGCCAGCTGCCGGCTGCAGATGATGCAGGCGAAGCAGTGCAGGTGGTAGACGAAGTCCTGGGCCTTGCGCACCACCTGAGTGGGGGGGATGCCCTGCTGGCAGGCCGTGCATTTTGTGCCGAAGCGCCTGTCAGGGCAGCAGAAAGGGATTAGGGCACCGGGGGAGGGGGGGTCTGGGCCCCCCTCCACTTCCTGGAGCAGCCCCTGTCCCACCCCCCGACTCCGGCGTCCACGAGCATCACTCCCGGCCACCCAGAGCTCACCCTCTGGTCCTCTCTGCCTCCATCTAGCTTCATCGCTTTGTGCCCGGCACTCCAAGCTCACACGAAGGCGCTGATCAGAGCCAGAGTCTCTGGCGCCTTGTCCGAAGCCGGCACCCCCAGGCTTGGATTGCCTGGTCCACACCCATCAACTCAGGGGCAGTGGAGGCGTTTCTGAGATCCTCGAGAGCGGGCTGTCTCGCCCTCTGCCCTGGCTTCCGCACCCTTACGGTGACTCCTAGAGGACCGTCCTCCCAGGGAACTGTGTGTGCCCACAGGCTGCTGTGCATAAAGCGCCCAGCAAACACCTCTTCACGCGCTCCCACAGAAGGCCCTGCGTGGCCGGGGACAGCACGTGCCAGTGTCCACGCTGGCGCTCCAGAGAAAACGCATTTTGTCAGCAGAGTGGGGCTCTCCTGACAGCTTCCCTCTCCCGTCCTCCCCCAAATCTCCCCTCCCCTCCATGCGGCACACACACACACACACACACACACACACACACACACACACGAAAGCCCTCGGGGGCAGCCTCCGCCCCCTCCCCAGGCACAGCCCTGGGAAGCGGTGTCCAGGGAGGGCCCGGGAAGCTGCATTTTCCAGCCCCTACAACATTCCAGGCCAAGGAGTCTGCGGATCTCAGTTTGAAAAATGCTGCCTCAGACCCTTCCCTGGTCTACACCTTTCTGGCGCAGCGCCAAGGCAAGAGGAAGCCATCGGCGGCCCCCTGTGCCAAGGCCGGGAAGGCAGGAGAAATAGACACACGGAAAGTACAGTCTAGCAGGGTCACTGAAGCCCTTTGCCCTATTCTGGCCACAGAGATAGACAGAGGCACGCCGGCGGCCGTGGAAGGCGGGAGGGAAACTGAGGCCTGGCGTGCTCGCGGGCGGTGCAGGAGGGTACACTGCTGCAGGTGCGTCTTCCCCACTTCGGGAGGGAGCGGGAGGCGTTGGGGAAGCAGGGGCAGAGTTTAAAACAGCAATCAACCTAATTATTCATGACATTTCACACAGCAGAACTTTATCTTCTTCAGGATGAAAGACTTCGCCTAATGGATCTGGGGAAGGTTTGATTTTAATGGTCCTTTTAACTAATGCTTATAGGCAGCCTGATTTCCCCTGAAAGGACAGTACATATTTCATCCACATTAATACCAAATAAATTAATTATGGTCATGGCTATCATGATGAATCCCAGATTAATGCAGAATGATGGGTCTCTTATGCAGTAATGATACCTGCTGAGGGGGCTGCGGGGGCCCGGAACGGGCATGGCCAGCTGCGGCTTCGGAAGCACCCGCCGCCAGGAACATGGTGTCCCAGAGAGAAGGGGGGGCTTTAAGTCTAGACAGGTAACCCCAAAAGAGCCAGGAGCGTGGTCCAGGGGTCTCCTCTTCGGAGATCGGTAAGAGAAGGGTGTTGGGGTGTGAGGGGCTGGAACGTGGCAGCTCGGGAGGACCCCAGACTTCTGAATTCCTGGACTGCCCCTTAGTTTTCGGGGAGGGGGTGCAAGAGTTCTCAGGCTGAGGGGCAGGACAGGCCTTATAAACCACGCCCAAGTTGTTCAAAATTGTGCCTCGGGAGGGGGCCTGAGCTTTCCTCAGATTTTCAAAGGGACTCAGGACCCAGAAAAGCAGAGTTAATATTTGTTGAATAAATAAGTCAATGCGTAAAGAACCGCACTCTCAGAGGATGGGCACAGAGATGGCTAAATCCCAGCACGGAGAACAAAGTACACGGTCAGCTCTGGGTGGTTCTGCACCTCCCAGAACGCAGCTCCTCACCAGGCTTCCCGCACAGCGCCCGCGTTACAGAGGAAGGCTTCCCTCTGTGTGCATGGCGGGGAGACAAAGAGAAAGGAAGGCTGTACGCGTGTTACTAGAGAGTGTTTTCAAAAGGTGGCCTGTACTTCTAATATCAATCCCGGCCAAGCCACACAGGGGGTGCTGGCATGCGCCAAGGCCGCAAGCCACCCAGATCTGGAGAGTGTGTCCTAGTCCTTTGCTGAATATGCTGGGGCAGAAGTGGCTCCAGAGAAGAACTAGAGTTGCCCAAAAAGCAAATCCTGCCTCGGTGGCCAGAACAGTGGGGCAGCGATCGGAGGACAGGAGGGCCGCGGGGGGGACCAGAACCGACTGGAGCCCCTTCCTCGGCCTCTCCCACTCTCCCGCGCCTCTGCAAAGCAGACGGGGGCTTCCACTAACCAGAAGCCCAGTTGACACCGGCGCACCAGAGACATGAAAGATAACGGGGGGTATAAATTTAATCTACAGACCGACAGTGATTCATGCACGAGAGTGGCAAGTGCACGAGAAAAATGAAAAATAAATGGACTTTTCCACCAGCGTTTTTTAGCAATTGAAGCAATTTTCCTGATTGTGGGACTTATGCCGATGGGAAGTGGAAGTCGCCCCTCGTTACCTTTTTCCCCTGGAGCACAGCCAACAGGACCCCCGCCGAGGGAGCCTCCTGCACCCCCTTGGCCCACAGGGCTCCCCTGGCCCAGTCCCCGTGGGGCACCGTGACCCCATTTCCAGTCAGAGCCTGTGGACCTGGAATGAGGTGCCGTCCTGGGGTGGCGGGTGTGATGGAGACACTATCCCCTTGTCCAGAGTTTAGCCAGCCAGAGTCACAGATGACAGGACCAAGGCCATGGCTAAAATTCCCCGGCCCCAAACAAGGAAAAACCGTGAACTTGGCTGCTGCACCGAGAACCAATAGCCTCACCAACCTCACCAAATCCGAAGGCTGCCGGTGGTGAAGGGGGAGGGGCTGCACACCGGCACCCCTTAGTCCCCATCGCCCAGCTCCTGGGTGTGCGGGCCCTGCCCACCTGGCCTCACTCTGCAGAAAGACCATCCCGCCACTCCGTCCTGCCTGGCCAGGCCTCCAGGGACGCCCAGTCTCCCTGGGGAAAGCAGCTGGAACTGCCCCAAACCACAAAGAAAACACGAGGGAGGACTTGCGAATGGCTCACATTATCCTCCTCCTCTCGCCTGGGCAGGGCAAGCCGCAAAGACCCGGTAAATGAATGAATGAACCGCTCCTGAAAGCGGGTGTCTGCGCGGCCAGGGAAGGACGCGCTCTCGGCAGTGAACGCTTCTAAGAAGGGCATTGAATCCGGGTAGAAAGGGGCCTGCGGTTCACCGAAATCTGCAACTGTCCATCCCACCCGCCGCCATCATCACTTCCCTTCCACGCGTGACCCTGGACAGCCCAGCCCGAAACGACGGCGGAGGCCCCGAGAGGCAGGGGCCGGCCACCGCTCCCACGGGCAGGCAGCGGGAGAACCAGCACCTCCGACACACGCAGCGGGCGGCAGGCACTGCTCGGTGCCCCCGCCCTGGCCTCGCACGCGTGCCCAGCTGCTCTGAGCCCCGGCCCTGCCATGGGGGCCCCCCCCGCAGGTGCGCCCACCGCAGCACGCTGGCTCAGGTGCGGGGCTGGGAAGTGCCGGGACATCGCAGCCCACTCCCGGGGGCCACCTGGTCTCACCCTCTGCTCCGGTGCTCGGCTGCGCTGGCGTCTCTGTCCATCTGTCCACCCTGCTGCCTTTGGCAGGCCTGGCTGGGTCACTCACAGGGGCAGGGACAGACTCGAGGGAGTCTGGGCCTTGTAGGAAGAGGGCCACAGGTGGTCCCTGCAGGCACCAAGCCTTCCAGAACCAGGGACACATAAACCCTACACCCCGGCTGTCTGACACACTCCTGATGGTAAGTTCTGTCCCAGGATCAGAGCCACATAACGTACCACATTTTGGTCACTGTGACACTACTGATAAAGGCGGCTCCACTCAGCAAGCACCGGCTGTGTGTCCCGCACAGAGCGGGCCCCGCACTGCGCACACAGTCGCACCCAGTCCTCCGGCCAGGCCCTCAGCCCACGGCGCCGCCACCCTCCCTGTGGCCGTCACCCCAGCACCAGCCACTCAGGCTCCCAGCTTCCATCAGCCCTGCCCTAAGTCTTGGTGCCTTTGGTACCTGCACAGACCGTCCTCCTGTCCCCCCTTGATCCTTTGACCTCCCCTGCTGAGGCCATAGCCCCCACCCTTCATCAGCGGCTCTGGCTGCCCCAGACCTTGTTGTTACCGGTAACTGCAACAGCTCCAGGGACAACTCCCAATCACCCCCTGCTGGGCCACCACCCTGTCCCTCCAGGGAGCTCCCCCAGTACCCTGACTCCAACGACACAGGGACTACCCCTTCACTGTGCTTGTCACCGTCCCCCACGCCCCTCCTCACTTACTAGCCCCTCCCCTCACACGCCCTCCGTCCCACCTGCTCCACCCTGTGCAGGGCGCCCGCGGAGCTGAGGAACGCACCCCGCCTGGCTGCCTTGCATCTCAGATCACGGCCACGTCATTCTGCCGACGGCTCAGGCCAGAACCTCTGGACGCCCCCGTCTGATCTGTCAGCAAATCCTGTAGACTCCACCCAAAATGGTACCAGGTGTGGCACCACGTCCCACAGCCGCACAGCCGCCTCCCTAGCTCAGGCTGCCCCACCCCCCGCCCTGGCCCCGCAGCCCCTTTTCGGCCACAGCAGGCCAAGTCCCACCCTCCCACGCCAGTGGCTCCCATGTCACTCGGGGGCAAAGCCACACTCCCTTTAACAGCCTAGGAGACCCTCCACCATTTGGACTGTCACCTTCTTGCTCTCATCGCTCCCTCTGCCCCTGCTCCCTCCGCCCCAGCCACCCACCGGGCCCTACGGCCCTGCCCTGGCGCTGCCTCCTCTGCTAGCAACACCCCCTGCTCCTGACCCCTGCATGGCCCCCTCCTGCACTCCTGCAGGGCTCCCCTCAAATGTCACCTCCCCAGGGGCATCCGCTGCCCCCACCCTCAGCACTTCCTGTCCCCTCTGCAGAGCACA